GTATAGCTTATAAAAAAGAACGCCCAATGCAACCAATTTAGAAAATGTCCCCTCTCTCTCCTCCTGTGTTCTCATCTCTAACAAGGAGGGCTGCCTCCAATCACATGTGAGCTTCCCTTGCCCTCTCGCATTGGGTGATTCTGGGGTCCTGTAAGGACACACAGCAAAATCATGAAGGACTAGAATAAGGACCAGAAAATTGTGGAAGGAAAAGTTGAGTCCACAGCACCACCTAGCCTAATGTGTGCTGGGCTGTTCCACCTCACTCGCTCATCTTCCTTCTTCTACTTTTTTTTAAGTGTAATTACTGGAGCTTATGTTTCACAGTTAATGCTGTCAAGCCTTTTAAACTAATTGGTCTTTTATAGAAAATTTAACTGAAAATTAACACATCTTTTAATAACATTGCCTTAACTTTAATGGCACTCTGCCTTTCGTCTATAATTGCACTAAAATTGTCATTTTCCATGTCATATCTGCCATTTTTTATATTTGCTAGTTTTCATGGTGTGGATTTTTATTTTTAGTATTTTTCTTTCACGAGCAGTGAGAACTGTTTCAATTATTTTCTCCTGGATCTGCCTTGACTGGTGCAACAGCAAGGGGTGTGTTCTTGGGTCCAGCACAACATCCCGCTGTTTGCTGCTCAGACACAACACTGCTGCTACGCCATCTGCCTTGGCGATGCCTGTGGACTGTCTGTCTGCTTGTGAGAAGAAGAAATGAGGGCTCTTGGATGGAGTGTAGAGATGAGTCATGAGCAGGAAATCGCTGGCATCTCTGGAATGGCGCTGGATTAACCTGGGCTGAGAGCTCAGCCTTCAACATAAGGCTCACCCAGGGTTCAGCCCTTCAGGAAGTTACAGTATAGACAGAAAGGCAGGTGGACCCATGATTCAGAGGAGCACATTCTCCAGTCTTGGTAACATAAATCTCATTATTTCTGACACTGAGGCCAGTTCATATAAGACATGAAACACTGACTCATCCCTCCTGCAGACTTCTGACTCATCTATCCACATAGCTCCAGAGTCTTATATCTCTAGAGTATGTGTGCCTGCATGCGTGCAGGAGAGAGAAGGAGTAAGCAGACACATTCATACATACACATATATATGTATGAATGTATGTGTGTGTGTGTGTGTGTGTGTGTGTGTGTGTGTGTGTAAATAACAAATCTACGGCTCTGCTGTCAACATGTTCCTGCTTGTTGAAAGACCTTCATATCTCTTTGTCCTTATCCAATTACCACAAAGAAACATGGAGTTGCTCACATCACACTTAATTAACAGTTGGTCTCAACTGATTCCCAGACAATGGAAAGCATAAGTGAGGGCTGGTGGTGCATTGGAACCAGAAGCCTTGGGTCTCCTTGATGACCCTGTGCCACACTGCCCCACTTACTTCACGTGCTTAAAATCTGTTTTTCTTATTTGACATTATTCATTATTCCCCTACATTTTTCACCTCTAGATTATCCAAGCAGAAAGAAAATTTAAACAATAGAAGATCATGGTCCATGGTTCTCTTCTCTATCCTGAGTCTGTAGAGTGGTGAATGATGTGTGTCATTTAGTAGGTGTTCAGTAAATGAACTGAATAAGAACGATAACTGTAATACAGCTTTATAGAACTGGTCATATGCTAAATACTTCATGATCACTTTATAACCATGACCACAGTCTCATGTGGACAAGCTATGGGACATGTGTGATTTTTATCCCATTTTAAAGATGACAGAAATGAAGCCTAGAGAGATTTAGGGTCCTTAGTGAGTAAACTGGTGTGGCTAGTGAGCCAGTGTTGTATCTTCTTATCCCAGGTGTCTAGGTGGAAATGAAATTGAGATTGGGGTTTGGAAGAAGTGAAATTGGGTGAAAAAAAATCTGAAGACTCACACACAGCTCCCAAAACAGAGAGGCTTCTTTTCATTGTATATGCTTAGGTGTGTGTGTGGTGTGTGTGTGTGGGGGGGCAGTCTAGGATCATTCTGAAAAGTTTATTTCTCAATTGAACCCTTCCTCTTAGGGGTGCACATCCATAGGGATAATTATTCCTCCCACCATTAATTTCTGTTGTCCATCTGTTGGATGAAGCCACAAGACTGGCTGACACAGCCCTATCAATTACAAAAAAGGCCAATGAATAATCAAAACAGTATTCTTTTAGCAGAGTAGTAAGTCAGGAAGAGTTGAGTGATGAGAGGCAAGAATGTTGATTCCTTGAATAAATGGCAACTTGGGGAACAGTGCTAGAAAATGGGGATCCCTAACATCCAGAGTGATTTGTGCAGGTATTGTGGTTTCTGTAGATGTACGCTGGCCTTGACTCTTACTTCTGTTCCTGCTGTTTGAAAGGAACCTCATTTTAGTTCTTCCTGGTCACTGCCTTGGTACTTGACTGATCTAAAGTTTTCATAAATGAAGTTTGGAGTCGAATACAAAGAAATCACAGGTAGCAGTTTGTCAAAAGGTCTGCATCTAATTGGGTCTGTTGAGCCAGACCTCAACTGGAGGTTTTTCATCCTAGAAAATAGGTCTGGAGTGATTTGGCTGGGATTTTGATTGATGGCTTGAAAAAGCACTGTCAGTAGGCATGTTAATGTGCCTCACTGCACTGTTTGAATCTGGTTTATTCATTTATTATGTACTGAAAGATCAGACTGTATCACCAAAGTGTGTCACTCAGTTCCAAGCCCTTAATAACCAATGCTGCTGATGCTGATGAATATGAGGAACAGTACTAAGTGCCTAGAACCCTTTACTCTAGGCTAGAATATAGAAGAAAAAAATGCTGCTTTCAGGCTATGGTATCCATATACCACAAGCCACATTATCCCAAACACTTCAATTTGGTACCAAAAGAGATCAGGGATGACCTTTGAAAACAGTTAATAGAAATCAGTTCGTTTTGATTTCTCATCCCAGTTTCTGAGAACTGATTATCTGGCAATGTTATCAATGTTTAGCCTTGAAACTCATACCCAGGCACGCCCTGCCTCCATACTGTCATATGCCCCACCTCACGCTGTCAGTCATGTGCCCCTTAGACTATGTAGAAGTTTCAATTGCATCACTGGCTTCACAGTTGTTTAACCTGCACAGGTGTACTGCTTCATTTCAAAATTCTCAGTATCTGATCCTACTGGAGCACATTGACTGTCTGTGTATAAACATAAATGTTATAAATTTAGTTAAAAAAAAACCCTTATAGTATTTTCCAATTCTAAAAAAAAAATCCATAAGCAGCTTACGTGTCTTTTAGTAAGAGCAGAGATCTGAAATCTCTGGAATTAGGATCAGAATTCAAGTGATATTTCTAAAGAGACACAATCCAACCTCCTACAGAGAATCTGGTGCTTTACTGAACATGATTATGTAGCCTCTATTGTTCTTTCCAGCCTGTCCAAGACTTTGTACAAACTGAGCCAATATTACCAGCAGCCCTAAGGTCATTCACAGAATTCTAGGAAACCAGGAGGGCTCTGCTCTGGTTCTACTGACTTGAAAAGCCACCAGTCAACCTTAATTCAGATGAATGTTATTTTATAATTATTTTTAAAGCCATAATTCTGATATTTCACTAAGATATGCTTACATTTGTACCACATTCAGTAATATAGAATCACCTAAATTCGTCTCTAAAAGCCCCATGTCTTCATCTTCCCTCACACAGTAATCCCTCTGGGATTATTTTTAATGAATATATGATAATAATGCATAGTTAGCGTATCAGTTGTTTAACATAGTCAAGAGAACAACCTTCTTAAGCAATGTGAGAAATGTATGTATGGAAAAATACCCTCTAAATTATGTTTACAGTTGAATGTGCTCAATGAAACTCTGTCCCATGGGTCCCTCAAGGTCAGTTTTTATCTGGCCCACACCTCCATTTTCACAAATTGTGAATTTCACTATTGCAAAATGAAGGGCGTCTTGCATAAATAAAGACACAAGTAGGAACAATTCCCAGCACCTGCTGTGGCCCATTCTAAATGGCTGCTGTTGTCTGTTGCAGTGAATGATGATACCACTGTGCTGGAATCCACTCTTTTAATTGTTACTTATTTGGGGGTCACAAGAAATGGGGAAACAAATGGCTTGACCACTTACTACACATCAAGTTACTAAATGAAACACAACTGCTTTTGATGTCTCAATCAGTAACTCCTTTCCTTTAACATCCATCCTCGTCTGTGCCCTTCAGCAGAGAAGAGTCCCATACCTGGTACTCACCCAAGGCCTACTCTTTTAGTGACAGGCAGGGACTTTGGTGTCAATCTTGGTACACTATCTTCCTATCTTCTGTTCGCATTCAGGCTATTCTCAAATGTTTCCAATTTTACTAAGGAATACTTAACCTCCCCCCACCACACACACACACACACACACACACACACACACACACACACACACACACACATCACTATTAGTACGACTCTCCCTCTAGCTAGAAGAGATGCTTACTCAGACATCACCTGCCACCTGCCTGTATCACTTATCAGTACTACTCTCCATCTAGCAAGAAGAGATGCCTACTCAGACATCATCCCTGAGTCTTGCCAGTCCAAGCCATCTCCACCGAGCAGACAAGGTCAGTGCTTTCAGGTATGAACCTGACCACATCACTCTTCAGCATTAAGTCCAAAGAGTCAAACCATGAAAATGGTTTTCAATGTCTTCCCTGTCCCTTCCTCATTGTGGTTCAGTTCCCTTTGTCTTCCTTGACAGACTCACATCTTGGTATGAAATTTTTCCTTGAGGAGTGCTTTTCTTATCCTCCAAACCAGGTCATAACTTCCCCTGTCTTCCCTGCTCTTTGAGGAATTTATAATCAATACTTACTTGGGTGATTGATAAATATTGGCATCTTTTCTAGAGAGAAAGGTTCATGACCTTTTCCATGCACAGCTCAAGCTTCTGCCATGCCTCCTACTTTAGAGATGGTCCGTGGATGTGTATCCCACCCCTTGAATGGAGAGGAGGGAGCTAGACAACTTACCGCACTCATGAGCGAGTCCAGGACGCTGACAGCAAACGCTGTCCCACATGCAAAGGGCTGCGTGAGGTACAGCTCTGTGTCAGGGTCATCATCATCATCTTGGTCCAAAAACTGAACATTAGTATCGTTCACTAGAAAAGGCATAAAGTAAGAATTAGCACTGAACACTATACATGTGTTAGTGAAGCCAGAGATACACTAAGTGACTGACTTAGAGAAACTGAAGTTATGGCAAAGGAAACAAGCATGGCGAAGCTGTTGATGGATCTGGGGATTGGCGAGCAGTGGGACTCGATGGACTGCTCCTACAGGGCTGTTTTAACTTCGGAGACCTGGAGAGCAATGAGGTCAAGCAGGCTTGCTCCATGGCAACTGCCAAGAACTGGCAAGTTAATGGCATTGACCAGTCCTTGCTGCAGTTTTACAGTCATGACCAAGAAACACCCTAGGGCATTTCTTGGTAGCCAAAATCCTCTGAGAGATGGACATAATTCGATGAAAATAGCCATGCTGGAATGGTAAAGTTAGCCACAAAGGAAAAATGCAACTTATTTAGAAGGAAAAGCAATGGACCAGAAACACAGCAAGGGCAAATGGCAAGGAATTTGCCCTCAGGTAGGACCTATAGCTAGCCCCAAGGACGGGCCTGGGTAGTACCTGGTGTGCCTGGCCTCTGAACCCAGGCCCATACCTTACTGAACATTTGGGAATGGCTCCTGGCTATCTCCGGCTGTTTTCCAACTTCTTTTGCAAGGCTCTACACACTCTTTCCCCTTCTAAACAGCTCTGTCTTCGCTGTGTTCTAGAAGACATGGCCAGGGCAAGATGCCTTCCTTCACTGTCATCTGAGGAGCCCCTAAGGACTCCTCCTGCATGCACCCAGACTGATGCACTGTGTCCTTCAGATGCCTTTAACTTATAAAAAATTAAATGACAAATGAGCTTCTATTCCTATCTTGGCCTCAGAAATGATCCATTTTGCAGAGCAAGTAATAGGGGGAAGTGTGGGGAGCTGGGGAGAGGCACACTTGTGGTTTCTGGAATAATTAAGGTGGTCTTAGGAAGAGAACAGATGAGATTTCCCAGCTCTGATGTCTTTCTGAATCTATCTGCAGCTAATTCTCTTCCCTAGAGTTAATGTTTTAATTTTTTTAAAGGAACTTTCTGGACAACTTTCCTTTAAAAAAAAAATACAAACAAACGATTAAAAAAAAGCACCAAAACTTTGTTTATTGAGTCAGAATAAATGATAATAGGATAAAAGGCTTGGCGTGGAATTATTTTTAAATGACACCATCTTTATCCCCTCTGGAGAATGACTCTAATGGAAGGAAATCTTTGCTGTGATTTTTTCCAAATTTGGTCACATTGGGTCCCAGTTGTTGTCTCAGGGGCAAGTGGATTGCAGGATGGTGGGCAAAAGTCTCAAGTCTGGTTTTGTCACCCACTTCTTTGGCAAAGCATTTCATGATCCTACAGCTAAGTTGCTCTCTTGTGAAATGGGGAAACTATGCAGTCTCTCATGAGGTAGCTCAGAAATTCCTAGGAGACCAGATTTGGTGAGTTTTCTCCAGGACCCAGGGCATGCTGTGCACTGGATAACTGGAGGCTGATAACACAATTGTCTATCAATCTGTTACATTAGGGAAATGTCTAGCACCTCTCTGCTCCTCTCAGAGACAGTAAGATTTACTTATGAACCCTCCAAATGGTTCTGTTAAATTGAATCATGTTTGGCCCTAAGCTGCCTCCATACCCATTTCATGTTTGATTAAAAGTGTCTCAAATGGCTGGGTGGTGGTGGTGGCGGCGGCGGCGGCGGCGGCGGCGGCGGCGGCGGCGCACGCCTTTAATCCCAGCACTTGGGAGGCAGAGCCAGGCGGATCTCTGTGAGTTTGAGACCAGCCTGGTCTCCAAAGAGAGTTCCAGGAAAGGCGCAAAGCTACACAGAGAAACCCTGTCTCGAAAAACCAAAAAAAAAGAAAGAAAGAAAAAACAAGAAAAGAAAAAAAGTGTCTCAAACGTCGTGAACTGTAGCCTTACTCCATGTGGACATTGTATAACCTACCCCTATAATAAGTAGCTCTGGCTCAGCCGATCACAAGTGGCCTAGTGTTCAAACTAGATTCAGGTAAGACAGACTCCACCTGTAGCCCTGGCCAGGTTGTCTCCATGCCTCATTCTTCTGTCTCATATTTCACTTCCTTTCCTCAGGAGTGTGTGTGTGTGTGTGTGTGTGTGTGTGTGTGTGTGTGTGTGTGTGTACACCCTGCTCTCATAGTGGGCCAAATATGAGGAACTACTTTGTCCTACTTTAGAATTGTAAATGAAGTGGATTCAGCTTTCTAAAGCAGGCGCTGAAGAGATGGTGGCAATTGAGAACACTTGCTATTCTCTCAGAGGACTGTGTTAGCTTGCTAGCACCCACACCTTGATCTACCTGACACTCCTCCAGGGAACCCCACATGCTCTTCTGTCCTCTGCATGCACATGAGGTACATCCACACATGCAGGCAAACACTAAACATTTTTAAGATTTTAAAAACCACGCTTGTGGAAATTTTGCCTTAGCTTTTTGCTCTCCCTGTCTCTATCTTTCTTCTCTCTCTAGGCAGTGTCTCCTGTATCCTAGGCTGGCTTCAGACTCACTGTGTCGTGGAAGATTATAGGCTGAACTTCTCCTCCACCTTTGCAGTGTAGGGATCATGGGTGTGGACTACCACACCCTGTCGATGAAGTGCTAGGGACTGAACCTAGGGCTTTGTTGATGTTAAGCAATTGCATGTAAAGCACTCTGTCAATGCTACCAACTCAGCTAAATCCCAAGTCTATAATTTTTGTCTTTTAATATTCCAACAGTATGTTGTGAGGTCCACAGTATGTCTGCTCTGGGAATCAGAAAATGTAATCAGAAAATGACATACATTCGACTATGGTTTTATCTATTCACATCAGCTGATGGTGTTTGCGTCATCATTTGTACTGGAGCAGTATCCCCTCTCTCTTTACAGAGAGATGAGGGGAAAACCATCCTACGTTATTAGCATGGCCTGAGTAGGAAAAACAACTCTGGACTTGAGCGATGCCGGCTATTGGAAGGTGTCAAGGCAAGAGCAAGTTTCAGTGAAAAGCCTGCCTGTTGTTCTGGAATGCCCAGTCCCAGGAAGATAGCAGCTGGAGGCCCCCTGCCCACTTCCCAGAATAGCAACTACCTGGGTAATAATAAGAGGGGACAAAAACATTGCCCCACCATGCATGTGACCAAATATAGTTGGGAAATAGTGAGTTAAGCTGCAACAAACAAAGTTCTTCCTCATGGAAACATCGGGAGCCTTTGCCAGGGGAGTCTCAGAACACATGAGGACTGGAATATATTGCAGTCTTCAAATGTGTTTGGCCTGGGTAGCCTCTGTGTCTTTGTGTGTGTTCGGGTTTGGATGTGTTCATATATGGATGTGTTTGTGTACAGGTGCACGTAGAAGGTAGGGGTTAACATCAGCTGTCTTCCTCGATCATTTTCTATATTACTTTTTGAGGCAGGGTCTGTCAACTGAATCTGTAGCTCACCGATTCAGCTAGACTCCCTGGCCAGCAAGCCTCAGGGATCCTTCTGTATCTGTCCCCAAGGGCTGGAATTACAAGATGTACACTGCCATGCTCAGCCTGGATGTGCATGCTGGGGATCAGCACTCAGGTCCTCACGATTGCACAACAAGCATGGCTTTACCCCAGGCCTGTCTCTCCAGCCCCGTTTTAAGGGGCATTTTGCTGGAGTAATATCACACAGCACACAGCCCAGGGCAGATGACATTGCAGGGGTGAAGTGGGAGGAGGAATGGTATGAGGATCGTGGTGTGACTGCGGGAGAGAGAAACTAGCCTCAAGAGCAGAGGGAGGAAGTAGCCTGAACTCTAAACGCAAAGGAAAAACTCGGGTGTGGGAGAGTGCTTGGGGGACTTGATAACCGAATTGCTGCCTTGCATTTGGAGCACCAAGCTTTTTGTTTTCCTTTTCCACTAATCAAAATCAGGATACCCTAGTTAGTGAGTAGCACACGGACTCCAAATGCAAGAGAAAGTCTTGGCGTGGATGTTTTCGGAAACTGTGTAGGTATCTGTGTGGGAGACGCTTGGATGACTTTTCCAAACAGTGGTCTGGGGCACATGAGCTTCCCTGGTCTTTTGTGGTGCTATGGTTCTAAGAAGAGTGATGGAGAAACCCAGGCTTTTAGCCAACAATGCTAAACATGAAAAAGATACTTCTCCTACTGTGGGAAACAGAAAATAGTGTGGTACTCCTTGACCTGAATGAATGTGCCCTGATAAATAGCTCTGTCTAACAACCACGCAGGGCTGCATGGTGGACAATTTATTTCTTCATTTCTAGACACCTCACAAGCAAGATTACTGGGTTAAAAGCCTCCTCTCTTATTTTGAAATATATTTGGGGGGTCAAGAAAATGGAGCCTTCATTTCATCGGTGAGTCATGCGAAGGCAGGTGCTCCCCACTCCTCCTCCCACGTCTCTGCCGAGAAGCCCCTTTGCTATGTCTATTTAGAAGATCAGTCTCCGGTGCTGAGACCTGCTGCTGATGGGCGCCCTTTGTGGGTTATTAACCAAGTCATGGGGAACCATGGAAGGGCCTGACAAATGCAGCCATGACCAGGGGCCTTTATCTTCCAGATAAATCCACTGTGAATCTCCCTGGGGGTGGGGGGGGGAGGAGCTTTGGGACAGCGGGGTGGGGGTCAGAGAGTAGGTCCGCCAGCCTGTTCTGCACCCTTCTTGGAATCTGGCTTTAGTAAGAAAAGATCCCCTGGGAACCAGCTGCTTTTTATGGCTTCAGAAGCAGAACTTCTGAGAAAGGGCCTGGTAGGGGGAAAAAAGGCAAATAAAGTCAGAATAAAGAAAAATAAACAGCTGGAGGGAAGGCACTGTCTAGGATTTCTTATCTTAAAATTTTTATAGTTTTCCTTTGACTTCCTCTGAGAGCTGTGAAGACATGTCAGTCAAACTGACAGCATGTTGGAAGAGGAATATAGGGAAGAGGCGGGGGAGAGAGGGCACGTGTGGGATTTAAAAGAGAGGGAGAGAGAGGCTTGGGCCACAGAAAATGAATTAGAGCAGAGATGCTTTGGAGCTACTGCCAGGTCAGATGGGTGTGATCAAAGGTTTACTGATGCTGTGTGGGGAAAAAAATCATTAAGAAAAGGCCAGAACAAGACAGTCGATTCCAACCAGAGCCACAAATAAAATACATTCAAAGCAGTGCCATGGGGTAGCCTTTCTGTTACAGCCAGCGAAATGAAGGGGAAAAAAGCCAATGAGAGTTGGAAACACCAAGATCAGAACAAAAGAAAATACTGATGTCAAGAAGACAAGCACTTCTTACCCAACTCCGTTATCATTAGAATGTGCGTCCCACTGTTTTTTTCCTGATTGACTGATACCAAAGGCAACTTGCCCGGCTTAGCTAATTGGATACAGCATTTAAGGGTCAGGGAAAGGGAGTGGAGGGAAGTACAGAAAAAAAGAAAGAAAAGAGTGAGGGAACAATGGGGGACGCATTCTCAAGCTAAGCCACCTGGACGATATGTACCTGGAGGGGGAAGAGCCGTTTAGTAGTTGTATAACTTCCCACAGGGTACCAGAGAATGGCAGGGACAGGTCAGAAGTTGGGTTTTTACTGGCTACAGGTTATAGCCTTCAAACCCTGTGCACTTCATTCATATTTTGGCCATTTTTTGAAAATGACCTTTGGCGAGACTCTATCTGGGATAGGGTCAAGGTGGGGCTACTGTACAGTGGAGCAAACAATCGTTTGAGCCAGTTCTCACAGGGGATCCGCTCTCAGGTGGGATTGGCTTAGTCCGGAGGTTCTGAGTAGGGTTTCAACTGTAGGAACCTTTGAAACAGAACACCCAGAAGAGGCACCTTCAGGAAGAAGCCGCCAGAAGGGCCCTTGCCTCCTTTCTTTCCCATTCCCAAATGGATGCCCCAATTTCAAAGCCATTCTTGTGCTCTTTTGAAAACAGTGGCCGGAAGGAAGGAAACTTTCTATTTCTCTCCTGGGAAAGATAGAACAGTTTGTCCTTCAAATAATCTGCTGTATCTCTAATTGTACCTCACCTTCACTACTCCACTATGAGGACCAAAGGGCTAAAGAACAGGCCAACCTCCCCACATTCTCCATGGTCTGAAAGACAAAACCACCCACCCACTGAGCTGACAATGACTCCCTACCGAGTTCTGTGATGATGGGGATGTTGACTCCTGTTGTGATGGAAGGCTGGCGCAACATTCCATGCACTGGGCTGTTGTCAGGAGATGATCTGTCCATTCCAGGAGGTGTGAATCCTAGTGGAGAGAAATTCAGAGAAGTAGAAAATCTGGAAATGATAAAACTACAGCATACATACAGAACCCTTAAGATGCTGTGTACACATTATTGACAGGCAGGTCACCAATTAACATAAGGTAAACTCTGAGGGGTTTTGTTTGTTTGTTTGTTTGTTTTGTTTTTTAAGGACATTATAGGAAATACACTTGAAGCAATTCTAACTTAATCTGACAACTTCCTAAAATTCCAGACATAACATTATATATCCTACTTATAATTCCCCTTCTCCTACAAGTAGTTACCACTCACTGTGTCTAGTTGCCCTTAGGAAGGCAGGACTATGTGACATGCAAAATGCTCTGGCTCATGGAAAGTGAGTGAAGAAACACACATCACTTCTGGTCTAAGGCTTTGTCTTATCCTTCTCTTTCCAAACCACATCTAATATGGAGTCATGGGTCACTATGGAGATGGAATCTGGACAGCAGCCTCAGACAACTGCCCTGACCCATAAAACCTTCTAAGGGGAAAAACAATGATGGCTCTTCCAACCACTGAAATGTTTCATGTGTTGCTACCATGGCCTAGCCAAACTCATTCTGACCATTCTCCTCAGCCAACTGATTGCATTTCCTTCTGCTCTTGAGGAACTTAGGTCCTGGGTTTGACATGGTTCCGGCTGGTGAGACGTGAGGGCAAATCTGCCTGGAGGCTTTCGGCAACTGTTCCTTGGTCTTAAAAAGACATGCAAAGGAAGACACCTTGTTTGATCCCCCTAGACACTGTTTCCTATGTCTACACTTCCTAGACCCACAGCATCCATCTTCCTGGAAGGATGAACAGCTATTGAATACAAAAGTTACCTGCTGCTACTGTCTGAAACACATGAACTATGAACCAAAGGCTGAGGGGCCCCCAATTAGATCAGGCCCTCTGAATAGGTGAGACAGTTTTGGCTTGATCTGTTTGGGAGGCATCTAGGCAGTGGTACCAGGTCCTGGACTCATTGCATAAATTGGCTGTTTGAAACCTGGGGCTTGTGCAGGGACACTTGGCTCAGTCTGGGAGGAGGGGACTGGACCTGCTTGGACTGAGTCTATCAGGTCGATTTCAGTCCTCGGGGAAGGCTTTGCCCTGGAGGAGGTGGGAATGAGGGGTGGGCTGGGGGGAAGGGGAGGGGGCAGGAGGGGGGAGAACAAGGGAATCTGTGGCTGATATGTAGAACTGAATGGCATTGTAAAATAAAATAAAAGGAAAAAAAAAAAAGAATTAGCCTTGAATTCCTGAGGTAACCGACCTGGCAATATCAAGACATCATGAGATTCATGAAAAAGGTACGATTTGAAATGGCAGGTTTAGTAAGAGCAAAACTTTTTCCAGCCAAGTCCACTGAGCACCTTGTTAAGGATGCAGGCAAAGACACACAAAGATGGGAAAGATCTTCACATCATGCCTGCGCTCCTTAGAAGTTCATTTTCTAACTGAAGCGCACAGCAAATAGATCTGTCAGCTGTGTGCTATTATTCTCTTTGGTGTGTTTTTAACTTTTATTTAATTAAAAAAATATTTTTGGAGATAAGGTTTTTGCAATGTAGCCATAGTTAGTCTGAACTCACTCAGTAGATCTGGCTAACCTCGAACTCACAAAGATCTGCCTGCCTCTGCCTCCTGAGTGCTGGGATTAAAAGTGTGCGCTGCTGTGCCTGATTCCTTGGTTTCTCATCTTATCTCATTTATATGGGCTTACCAATAAACAAGGGACTTAAAGGTACAAAGATATTTGCTTGGCTTCCAAACCAAAACTCTGAATTGATCATAGGACCACATTTTACAGTCACCACTTAGTCATGGGACAAGGCTGGGCTGAGTCTGGCATTTGGGTAATGTCTGGTGCTCAGTAATTGCCTATCCTTTGGGAGGTTCACAAGAACAAAATGCCAGAGACTTTTGAGGGGGCTTTCTTATTTCCTGCTCTTCTTTATTTAAATATCCTATCAAGTGCTATACTTTCAGGAAGAACAAAAAAGTATCCATTCCCGATTGCACTTAATTTTTTTTCAGTATTATGACACCTCAAACAGACCAAGTTACATTCAATGAGTTAGTGTTCATTCTTCCTAAACTTTGGAATGTGTCTATTTTCCAGCCAACCGCATAACCAGGAGCATGCATTTTAAATGCTAGCTGTTTTCTTCCCTTCGAACAGTGAAGGGGAAGAAATAAACTGTTTTCATCAGAAGTGGCATTCAAAAGCATGAAAAATTGCAAGTGACAGCTGTGCGGATTCAGTGGATGTGACGTTTTTGACTTTCTTCAACTTGACAAGTGAACACCTTACATCGGTAATGCTATATGCATAATACATGGCCTGTATTTTGACATCTACCATCAGACGCTGCCTGGAGAAAATATGGGTGTGTTCCTCAAGGAGTAGCACCCATAAAGCAGGCAGAGATACAGGTCACACGGTATTAGGATAGCTGTATTTCATTGCAGAGCCTGCAACAAGCCGAAGCATCCTTTTATTTTATCTTATTTAAAGATTCCATTTTCAGCTGTGAAAAGACTCAATCCCTTTGTATGAAACCTTCATTAGGAAGTGGCATGCTTGCTTCCTAGGCCTCTTTCACTTTCCTTTCATATTCCATTCCCCACCCCCCCACCCCCAGACTCCAAGGCTGGTTCCATCAGCATCAGCAACTGACAAACTGATGGGTAGCCAGATACCCTTCACCTGAAGGTCTGTCTCTCCATCTGTGACCCCAAGAACAGGGTACTAATGTTGACAATGAGAACTTTAGAAATATCACACCTCCTCCTACTTTGCAATGTTTCTGCCCTCACACTGGGTTTGCAAAATTAACAAAAATATAATTTTTTTTCTTTTCCTCTCATAGTCGTAGTAAGGACTCAGACTTGATTAGCATTGTTTCCTCCCTTAGGGGCCTACTGTAGGAAAACTATGTTCTCAAGTGCCGGGTGTTGCAGACTTCCTAAATGACCTGTATTCCATCTGAAGGAATGAAGCAGGAGAATACCTTAGATCCCATCATTCTAGTCATGGTTGACAAAGCAGGTCTTAACAATGTTCAGGTCTCCACCCCTTTCATCGATGGCATCACTTTACATCTCTACATCAAATAACACTGCTGTTCTGTTTGCACAAGCTGGGACATGAGGTATATACACCAGGGATCTGCAGCCAGAGACCAGAAAACCCGGGAAATGCTCCAACATGGGAGACAACCCTCCATTCTGCCCAAAGAAACCATTAAGGATGTCAATGTTAAAGAGCTAGACTAAGAAACCTCAGAAAAGATTCAGGTGAATTTGTGGACTGCCCAAGTTCTTCTTAGGCTCTTGATTCTTTAATATGTTAACACCGTACTCCATGGAGCTAGATATGACTTCCCTAGACTACCTCCTCACCTTCCAGGGAAGCCCCACCCCTAGTCCCAGTCTTCAGAGGCCCCTGTGCCTGGCATGCATCTGTGTTATCCACTGAGCATCAAGCATCACCACCTTGACTGACCCTGTCCCGGACCAGCCATTCTCATTTCATGTGCCATGGGAGAGTATTAGGCCAGAGAGTTTGCTGTTTAGCTGGGATTCTGGCTTATATTTAAGAGGCCTGACACCTAAGAGAAGAAATAAAAGGGACTAGTGAAGAACACAGCCTTGAAGCTGGAGGTCTTGGGTTCAAATTCTGGTTCTTTATTTTCCAATGTCTGTTAATTCTTTAAAGATATTTTTACTGCATTATTTTGTTATTTGGCTATTCCAGACATGTGTACAATAAATTTGATTACTCTCCCCAGTACCCTTTCTTATCTGCCTCCTACTCTTCTCCATCCCTTTCTCAGATTCCTGATTTTTGGTTTTGCTTTTCGACTCATTTTGTTTAATCAGGGCCACCTGTGTGACCACTGGATTAGGACTATCCATTGAAGCTTGGTGGGATGATCAGGGGTTACATGACTGAACATTATGTTTCCCCTTGTCATTGAATCTACCAGAAACAAGTAGTTCAGTAGTGAAGGGTAGAGCTCTGAGTCTCGCCTTCATGCATGCCTGACTGTTGCTTGGTCCACGAGGGGTAGAACTCTGAGTCTCACATCCATGCATGCCTGATTGTTGATTGGCTTCTGAGGGTGTAGAGCTCTGAGTCCTGCCTCGATGCATGCCTGACTCTTGATTGGTCCATTCTTGTACAGGCGTCTATAGCTGCTCTGAGTCTATGACACAATGGCTGAGTTTTGCAGAGAAGATGTTATTTCACATCCCTTCTTATTTCCAGGCTCTCACATTCTTTCTGTCTCCTCTTCCATAATGTCCCCTTAGAGAGGACAATACACATGACTTGGGTTGGCTTTGTAGATATAAGCACAGCACAGTTAATAATCTCTCCAGGTCTCTGATTCTTCATCAAAAGTATCCCTTATACAGGGAATATGGAAGGCTAAGGTAAAATGTGCCATACTTAGGATGAAGTAAGCACTCAAAAATGCTGTCCACCAATGACAATGTTATACTAGATACACAACAAATACCTGTGGAGAGGACGAGCATCTGCCAAGACCCTTTCCTATGGGTAAAGAACTGAAAAGCATTTAATAGATTTTTCTAAAGAAGAATTTGTCTTAGAAAACTAATGAGAATCATAGCATGTGTTTTTGTTATAAATAGATTAGTCCTGCAATAATAATAATAACAACAACAATAAATAGTAATAATAATAAGATATCTGGGAACATCTCAAGAAGGAATCTGGATATTGGGAAGGCTAAGGTTTTCTTCAGATTTATAGGAAGCTGGTGGCCAGCTTCTCACAGGAAAGGCAGTTAATTCCAAAAAGCAACTGCTGATCCCTTCTAGAAATTTCTCTTTTCTAGACTTAATTTCTGGCCCCCTTTAATTGGAAGTTATTTGTTCTTTGGGCTCCTGAAACTGTCTTTATCATTCTGTTTTTTTTTTTTTTTTTTTTTGTCTGGCACCTATGTTCTGGACACATCATCCC